TACAGGATTTAAGTGAGGGAGAGAATTCAAATATGCCAAAAAAAATTGTAGGTAAAATTTTCCAACCTATAAACAGTGTATTCAAGAAAAGCTAAAATTGTGCAAATTCCAATTGAAGACGTCTGTCTAAAAAGCTATGCTTATCCCATTTAAAGGCTTCTATTTAAAAAGCTATGAAAATTTCTTTGAAAAGTTTTGGTGGAATGCTTCCATTTATTTTAGGCTTTTAAAAGAGCTATAAAATGTTAAAATCTTAATACTGTAAGTAGGTCTAAATATAGATAACGAGTCTGGTATATGTAAACGGCATTTAGGCAGTATAGCTGAGCCCTGTGGACTCAGGCAGTCGATAAAAATGCCCAGCTTTTGGCTTAATGTGGTGTGTGCTATGTTTAAAAAATAAAAAACCCAAACAAAAACTGGTTGAGCTATGTCCAAAACATTATGAATAAATTGTGCAAGCGTAATTTGGTCGTCATCAATTATTTGAGAAAACTTCTCCAGACGTGTAATTAATTAAATCTTAATCAAGATGTATTTCAAAAATGTACCTAAATATCAGATATAGAAGTTAAAAGGAGATAAAGCTAGTTTTGATAATTATCAAATAATAAAATCTTATTCACCATGGTACTATTTAAAAATTGGACATTTTTACAATCTAAAAAAAACATTTCCGATCAATAAGAGGTTTGACATTTTGGCTCGGTTGAATTTCACCGTATTATGGAATTTTATTTGAGCCAGGAAAAAGAAACTCTTTTAAATCAAATCTAAAAAATGCTCAGTTATTCTTGACGAATGGCAAGATCTTAGAAATGTCCTTGCTGTTAGTGTAGAGTACCACAAAGAAACAAAAACTTTATGCCTGAGATGAGATTTTAAAAGCTTAAACCCGACTAAAACCCGGTCTTTGCACCTGCTTTGAAAGCTCAAGTCAAGATGTATATGATATATTTGAGTCAATTATCATTTTAACTATCATTATATCAACATTCTTTATCATTTTGGGTATTTATAAACCCTTATTATAAACTATTAAACTTTAATGTGAATGCAATGATAATTTTTTCTTTTACTTTTTACAATGACTGTAGTAAACACCTGCTCCATAACAATTTCTCAAGATGTATCTATCCAGGTTCAATCCGTCTGCTACCAGAGCCAAACAGGACACAATCCACATGGCTATAATCCCGTGACTAATTAATGCCATTACAGGGACAGGTTCACTTGGATCTAATTGTTCAAGGTGTATGTTCGACCCCACCTTGAGTATGCAGTGCAAGCATGGTCCCCATGGACACAAGAAGATATTAATCTACTGTAGAATGTGCAGGGCAGAGCTCTAAGAATGATGTCAGGTCTTGCAGGTGAAACTTATGACCTGATAAGATTGATTGAGGTTGGTTTGACAGTTTGACCTCTCTAGAGGCCAGACGACTTTGTGGTGATTTGATACAGACCTGAAAATTCTACATGGATATGATAATGCTGATGAATTTTCATGGTTCAACATGTGATACAGCGAATAGGCTGACAAGACAATCCAATTGTAGTTTTAATTCAAATGTGAAGCAATCCAATTCTAACATAAGAAAAAAACTCTTTTTCTGTGAGAGTGATAAACCCATGGAACAGTTTTGCCAGACTATGTTGAAGAGTCTAAAACCTTCAACATTTTCAACCAGTTACAATGATCATGTGAAAAATGTTGAGCATATATAGTAAAAAATATCCATTTTAAGAATCACTTTTTATTACCAAAAATGGTATCTAAGTGAAACCGGAACAATATAACAATATAAAAGGGCACGATCTCGTTAGCTATCGATGTCAATACAGACGCTTGCAATCAATTGATCAATGTCTCAACCAGGACACGATCCACAAGGCTACAATTCCGTGACTAATCAACATCACTATACTAGGCACAATCTTGTTAGCTATCAATGTCAATACAGACACTAGCAATTAATAGATCAATACCAATACTCAAGGAACAATCTCCACTTGTGTGTTTCAACGAGAATTATATTACTACTTATACCGTAATCAAAGCAGAGTCTCAATCAACTGAAGTTTATTTTGTAGATCATATGAGAAATGGGTCATTAACAGAGAAATTACAAGCTTTGCGCTGTTATATCTTTAACGCGGTTAACAATCACAATATGGGTATGACAGAGTTATATATTATCTACATACATGGAATGGGTTTATCGCATTACAGGATTTGCATAATTAATAAATGAACAAGGTACAATGTAAATTACACACCTCTAGTTGATATTAATCTATCAAAAATGTTGCATAGATTTCAAAAATGTCACCCTGTATAACAATTAGAACCAACCTTAATATTTGTGAGCAGCTTACAGCCATTTTTATCAAGTGTCATGCTCAGGTCATTGTCTGAAAATTCTTACATTTTATCACATCAAATCAAATATTTTTTGTTTCCACAGAAACATAACATTAAATATGATAAATCAATATTGCAAGGGGAAGATTGATAGATGAATTTTGTTTCATCCAAATTTTTTCTTTTGGGATTTGAAATTAATCAAGCAATGATACCCGTTAATTTTGTTGCTAACTATTTTCTTAATAACAATTGTCTTAGATCCATGATTTACTATTTTCAAATATTTTCTCAGTCATATTAATATACATTTTCTTAAAATGTCTCCTTGAAATGGATGGAGAGGGGCTTTAGAGATTAGTCGTTAAGTCCTTAATCATGTCCATATCTTAGATCAAGTGTCTTCAAAGTTTAAACTGCTGTGGTTCCCCCCCCCCCCTCACCAGAACAATACCAAAAAATATGTACTACCCCAGACTCAGAAATTCTATCTACAGGGCTACTCACAAAGCATAAGACTGTAAAGATGACCCAAAACTATAAAAAATGAAGAACTAATAAAGCTTGATTTTTTGTTTCTGCATTCAATTATGTATTTTAATGGAAACCTTAATGATAAAGCTCAGAAAAGAGCCATTTTTGGCCTCCAAGGATCCCTGAATGCAAGTTAACGGTCTTAAAAAATTCCAAACAATCGTCTCTGAAGTCTAATCCTTTGTAGGTAACCATGTATTATCAGCTAAATTCTAAGATAACTCGAGGTAATCTCCTAAAATGGGTCTGTCCTAGAGAACACTTCTTGGACCCTTCCTGTATACTAGGAAATTACCAATTTATTTTATCCGTACATCATCAAAAAATCAAATCTTAGAAATAACAACTGTCAGTCTAACAATCAACAAAACACAACTTCAATTCTATATACCCCGCCAACCACATAGTAAACAGACCTTAAATTTATTTATGTTCTCTTAGGTCTGAAATAGGTTGATCTAGGTTGGATGACCTAAAATGTCCTTAAATGCCCTTAGGCAACCTTAATCTTAGGTCATTTTTGATGGAGGTAGGTCTGAGGACCCAAACTGACCTTAGGCGACCTTAGTCTAAGGTTATTTTTGGTTAGGTTAGGTTATTTTAAGTTGCACCATTTCTAGGCCTATTATGGGTTATGTGAGGTGAGGTGCTAAATTTTAGAAACTGATACTTGGTAGTTTCATAAAGAACAATTTTTGGAACCCCCCCCCCCATCAATTTTGTACATGGATCTCATATGTACTTCTACCGCTCAAGTCATATACTGTATATTTAAATGATAAGTATGAAATAACAAGTTTACTTTTTGATTGATTATCTTTTTATTTCTTCATGCCTTATTACTGGCATCTTGGATCAAATAGCATGTTTACAGACATAACAGGCCGGAGTAACAGAAATTTAGTACAATTGGCTCAAAATAACATTAAACACAACACAAAGCAGAAAGGCAGGGTTGCCATTATAAAATTTTAGACCACAGCCAAAATATTTTCATTACAGCTTTCATAAAAGCTTAAAATACACCTATTTCAGTGTTGTTACACCCCTACAAAATTGACTGTTTGATCTATCTATTGTATTTTATAGAAACAGCTCAATTTCTAAAGTCATTTCATCATAAATTAAAGAATTATTTCTTATAAATGGTTTACCAATCCAATAAAAAGTTAAAATTTACATTTTTTAAAATTTTTTTAAGAAGTAGGCTGACTATATTTACATGGCAAAACTCTAGATTTACGATTGTCACAATTAAATCATTGAATAACAATTCATTTTACAAGCTCTTAAAATCCTAATTTTGGATGTAATTCAAATCTTTTCCTTAAAAAGATTTATATGAATGTCTACCATTCTTCACGACAGTAGACATTTGAATTTAAACTTCTGTGGAAAATACAATTAGAAAAATTAAATCTCATACATTTCCCAAACTACAACATTGAGTAATACTTGATTGATTGGGGAAAATTTCTGAAATTTTGGTTCACAGCCACTTTTCTGTCCTAGAAAACCTAGATTTTTTTCACATCACAGTATATAAGGATTTTTTTAAAGCCATATTCAAGGAAAGTGGCTGTGGTCACAGCCACTTTGCAAACCTGCAGAAAAGTTAAAATTACTTTATCTTTTACCAACATGGATCAATTAGCATGCCTATCAGGCTAGCGTAAGCGTATACTTAGGCAAACTTAAACTAAACTATAACCGAACTTATCTCTGACTATAACTTTACTGACGACTGCGGAGTGCGGACTGACGTCTACGGTCTGTACTCTGTACTGAGTCTGTCTGACGAATTGGTATGGTTTGGCTTTAGATGGGGTTATTATGTATATTCCGTACAATTCCGAACTATCTGCCTATCTATTTTTCGAGGGAAGGAAGGCAAGTCACCCCGTTCAATCCATATTTTCATCATTTTCTCGTCCGCCTTATCATTATTATTCTTCCAAAACTATTAAAACGTTTTTTGAAAATCTGTCCACAGTAAGCAAAAATAAATATAGAATTTTTACAAACAAATTTTAAATTTGTGAAATAATGATTGCTCCGTAATGTTTAAGCATATATCTATCATGTGGAAAGAATCGACGGAGTGATTGGACAAGAAAATTAGTAGAACGTGGCTCGGAAGAGAAATTGCTGTAATTGGCAGGCGGCATGTTTAGAAGATACAGGGAGAAGGTGTGAGAAGAAGAAGATACAGCCCTGGAAACCAGAAGTCTTCTATAAATTAGGACGTCATAAGGTGTCAATAATTCCGGAATTCCGTAACGATCCGTAATTCCGGAACAATGTTCCGGAAATTTCCGTTTTACGGAAAAAAAAATCTTTCCGGAAATCGTTCCGGAATTCCGGTTTTCCGGAACCTTTACCATAATGGAAATGGAAAAAATTTCCGGATCATTTCCGTACGTAAACTGTAACCCGGAATTCCGGTGGAAACCCTATCTGAAACCCTCCCCCTCCATAGAAACCAGCGAAGTCGCACGACCAGTCCCATTAGGTTGAGATAGGTCAGGTTAGGTTGGGTTACATCAGATTACCAAATTGGTCACAATATGACCAGTCCCCTTAGGTCAAGTTAGGTCAGGTTTGGTCGGGTTACATCACATAACCAAAATGGTTGGAACATGCAGTCCCCCTAGGTTGTGTTTGGTAAGGCTAGGTCGGGAATTAGGTCAAATAACCTAACTGGTCTGATACTGGTCTTAACCTGACCAATCCACTTACGTCAGATTTGTTAGAGATTGGTTGAGTTATGTCAGGAGAACTAACTGGTAGGAACATGACCAGTCCTTCTAGGTCATGTTTGGTCAGGTTAGGTCGGATTAGGTCGAGTTACCCAACTGCAGGTCTCATAACCTGACCAATCTACTTAGGTTGGATTTGGTCAAGATTTGTTGAGTTATGTCAGGAGACCTAACTGGTCGGAACATGACCAGTCACCCTATGTCGTGTTTGGTCAGGTTAGGTCAGGTTAGGTTGAGTTACCTAACTGGTCTCATACTGGTCTTAACCTGACCAATCAACTTAAGTCGGATTTAGTTGTGATTGGTTGAGTTATGTCAGGAGACCTAACTGGTTGGAACATGACCAGTCCCCCTAGCTGTTGTGTTTGGTCAGGTTAGGTTGGGTTAGGTTGAGTTACCTATAAACTGGTCTCATGCTAGTCTGGATGTCTCCACCTGAAATTTAAATAAAAGCCACTTTTATAGGCCTTAGGTGCAGGCTAGAATTTTCAAATATTATATTTTTTTCATGGTTTACGTGACGTAAACTGGAAAATTTCCGGTTTCCATTTATACCGGAATTATCCCGGAATTCCGGTTTACGCAACAAATTTCCGGATCATTCCATTTCCAAAAAGGAAATTTTTTTCCGGAAAAATGGAAACCCTAGTTTCAGATGAAACAGGGATAAGGTTTAGACAATACAGGGAGAAGGTTTGAGTAGATACAGGGAGAAGGTTTAGAAGATACAGAGAGAAGGTTTTGAATTGATAAAGGAAGAAGGTTTGCGAAGATACAGGGGTAAGGTTTAAAAGATACAAAGAGAAGGTTTAGAAGATACAGCTGGAGAAGGTTAGAAGATACAGGGAGAAGGTTATAGAAGATACAAGAAGTAGGTAAATAGAAGATACAAGAAGTAGGTAAATAGAAAATACAGGGAGAAGGTGAGAAGATACAGGGATTGAAGGTTAAGTTACAGGGAGAAGGTTAGAAGATACAGGGAGAACCGGTTAGAAGATACAAGGAGAAGGTTTAGAAGATACAAGAAGAAGGTAAATAGAAAATTCAGGGAGAAGGTGAGAAATACAGAGATCGAAGGTTAAGATACACAGGGAGAAGGTTTAGTAGATACAGGAGAAGGTTTAGAATATATAGAGAGTAGGCTTAGAAGATACAGGACAAGGTTTAAATGATACTGAGAGAAGGTTTAGAAGATCCAAGAGATGGTTTAAAAGATACACAGAGTAATTTAAGAAAAATAGGTGGAAATCTTAGGGTTTGAATATATAGTTGAAAACACAGGGTTTAAAATATTACATGGAGACATAGAGAGTCTTGAAATATAGGTGGATGAGGGTTTAAACATATAGGTGGAAATATCGACCAGGGTTTGAATATAAAAGTGGAATTATCAGGGTTTAAATACAAATGTGGAAATATAAGGGAACTGAATATAAAGGTGGAAATATCAGAGTTTCATTATTTAGAGTAGGACATATTAGTCTTAATATAAAAGTGGAAATATCAGGGTTTAAATGTATAGACATGGATTGGATACAAATTTATATGAAACCATATGATAAAATTGTAAGATGAAACCATAGGATACAATTCTAAGATGACACCATTGGATATAATTCTAAGATAAAACCATCGGGATACAATTCTGAAGTGAAAACATGGGATACCATTCTGAGATGTAAACATGGGAAACAATTATAAGATGAAACCATGGGATAAAAATGTAAGATGAATTCATGGGATACAATTTGAAGACGAAACCATGGGATACAAATCT